TTTTTTTTTTTTACAGAAATTCGATTTTTAAATTAATTGTAATAGCTATAATACAAAATCATATGACAATAAAATAAAGTTGGCTAATCAGTTAAAAAATTTTTATTGAATCTAGATTAGAGAACTGTAAATTGCAGCTCATCCCAGCTTTATAGCTGTTTTATAAATTTTTGGTTTATAAACTCTGAGACAGCTGAAAAATTGTCATTGATCGAATCAATAAATTACCTAGTCAGAATGAATCAATATTAGTTAATATTAAAAACTTACCAATTCAGTCGTCAATTTTTCAAATGTCCTAGAATTTATCAAAACAGCTATATACTTTTATATCTCAATCTTGCCAAATCAAAAATTTATCGAATTTGATTAAAATAATTGTCGGTTAATTAAGTCTTAATCTTTTGGAATTTCGAATTTTTAGTCCAATCGACGAATTCTTGATCATATTTAACTTTTTTAATATTAGCACCTATTCATGTTATATATTTACTATAAAAGTTAATTTGATATTCAGAGCCTTTTTCATAAACTTTCGCACAAGTTAAACACGCTAAACATATTGGGCAAGCATTCAAATAAAATTTTAATAATGTATAATAAAATTATTTGTACTATGGTAATTTTTGAAATTGGACCAAAAATGTAATTTAGACATAGATATTACAATAAATAAAAATTGAACAAATTCAAAAATATATTTAATTTATAACGTAGATATTATATCAATATTACAGTATATAAATTAAAATTGAACGAATTCAAAAATATATTTTTTATATACTGGTTATGCTGAAAAAATTACCGGCCAAAAATTTTTTTCGGCTTATTTTTTATAGGTGTCATAACGGGATTATATTTATCGTATTGTATCGGAAATCTGATATAAATCGATTTATAACAAAAGTAAGATATTTGATATATATCAATATTTAACAAATATTGCTAAATATCGATATAATTAGATAATGCAACTATCGATATATATCTATTACACAATTACTATTGATATAAATAAAATCGATATATATCGATGATTAGATATTTATCGATATATACCTATTACTGGTATATATCAATTTTTGGTTATATATCGTTATATATCCTAAATTATTGATATATGCCGTTTTTTTCTTATCAATATATATCGATTTTTTGCTATATATTGATATGTATCTATATAAAAAATTTTCTGATGATGGGCTTTTCATTAAATATACTGTATAAATTTTCCAAATATTCCTTAAAAACTCTTGGTAAGTACAACCGACGTAAAATATCTGATGCAGGTATAGCACCACTTTCCTTACAGTACATGTTCAAAAATCCATGAACCTTGTCAAGTTTTTCTATTGGTATGTCAGCCTCAACCTATACCATAAGAAGATCATAAATAACTTCTTTTTTTTTGGTTAGCCACTGTTAGAGATGACAAAAGGCACCTTTGCCATGTTTGATTTAAGGATTTTAAGTAAGTTTCCTGCTTTTTTTTATAGGTTTTACTATTTATGTGTGTAGTAACAAAAGATTTATTATCAAAGTTAACACTATGGTTGCAAAAACGGCACATAAGTTTGCCGGAATCTGCAACAAAGTGTTCTGAAAACTCTTTGGGCATGACTATTAGCAGTGATTTGGGTCTTTTTTTTTTTTTTTTTTTTTGCATGTTCAAAAAACAGTCTTATACCGATGCCCCCTTTGTGCACCCTTTAGTCGAAAGACATTTGATAAACTTGTTATTGTGAGTATTGATAAACTCTTTATTGAGAGTATTGATAAACTCTTTATTGCGTTCAAAGAACAAACCGCATAAAATTTGATAATTTATACTACCGTATCGCACTGCTTATAGTACCCGGGCCTTATTCAAGAACACCATTTTTAAAATCGAGTACTATTCACGAATCCGGCAATTTCATTGGTGGAGAAGGGGGGTACTTTATGTGGTAGGATATTATTTGAGGGGGATACTATAAGCAGTGCGATACGGTAAATTTTATGACAGATTCTTATTGGTCAGATCACATGTTTTATTAAAATCAAATTCAAAAAATATGAAGACGAGCTCTAATTTAATTAGATTGGGCGATGTTTGAAATGTTGACAGAAACTTTTCATTAATCACCTAATAAAGGTCTCGGCGATCTGTAATATGGATTAGTATCATAGAGTGTAATTTTGAATTACGACCTGAATTAAGTTTAATTCAGGTCATTATTCGAAATAATGTGCATGCACGTTATGTCGCCATTAATATGATAAATATTGGTAATAATAACACATCGTTGGAAATATTAAGACACTATCCCAAAATTTATTTTTAACCAAAAATAGGCTTCACATTGTTTTTTTTTTTTTTGACCATCTATGTGATTAATTCGGCTTCTATGTTGTTATGAAGCAGTAACATTCTAAATTCAATGGCTATCAAATTCTATCAAAATCTAGTAAAGTGACATATAGTAGTATAGTAGTATGCTATATACACGATATAAACTACGACTAATTACATGAAGTCGATTTAAGCAGTCAAAATAAAAAATAAACTTGTAAAAAAATAAAATAAAAATAAAAATTTGAAATCTAACAATTCTGCAAACCTTTTTTTTTAAAAGTTTGTTCACCAAACCAATGAGAAGAGTAATGTGATATATATCATTATCCATTATTGTTGCCTCTGACCTCCTGTAGACATTAATACGAGTTTCTTCTTTTTGTGTTTCTTACCAACGTATACTTCCTCTTCTTTAAAGTCCCAACCATTGTCAACAAAGTCGTCTTCTTGTTTAGCTAAGTTTTTTCCACTGGCAACATTAGCAAAGGACACCGCAGGAGTTCCCCAAACGGTTTTTGGGCCATTGGATGAAGTGTTCAGATTGTTGTTTACATGACTATTACCAATCTCCATTTCGATAGAAAGCTGCGGTATTGTACTGTTACTTTGGCTAGTTTCACCAAATACATTCTGTTGGAAAAATGAATCAGAATTAAAAAATTCTTGGGTGTTTTTATAATGCCGTTCTCTATGTGCAGCCTTTTCTTCCTTACGGGCTTTTTCTTTACGACGATTTTGACGTTGTCGAAGTTCATCTTTGTAATATAATGAAATAATCATGTTATGTTGTACTTATAAGGATAAAACAATAATTTTAAAGTCTAAATTAAAGATGAATTTACCTTCAAATATTTTTAACGTGGAATCAGAAACTACACCTTTTAAATCTACCTCTAAAAACGTTACATCACAACTTAAAGGCAAATGGCTGAGATACTTGCAACGTTTTCTAAATTCCTGAAATAAATCGAAAATTATTAATAAATTCATATATTTAATGTAACAGATATGTAAAATAAATAAACACATACCTCTGTGATTGTAGATTCTTCTACATTAACAATACGTACAGATATCTCATTAGGAAATTGCTCATACGTCCCAAACTCTTGTTTCAAGATACGAATATCCAATGGATGCAGATACACATGCTGACCATCTTCTGATTGATAAAAATAGTATGTACAATCACTGTAAGTAACAGGTTGCAAAACTTTCGCTTTCGATCTTGATTCAGGAGTCGATTGAGGGACATTGGCAATATGAGATTGCTCTCTGAATTCATTAGGTAAAAAAGCTGGTGGACTACTTCCTGAATCTGAAGATGACTCGGAACTACTATTTTTATCTGATGAGATGTTGGTTATAGGATCAGTTTCTACAATCGTAGTTGTATAATGTAGTGTTTTATCGCCTAACTTTTTATGCTTTGAATCTGAGGAACTTTCAGTTGTTTGATCAGCAAGTACACGATTAAATTCAACTTTATTAATTAATTCACGAGCACGCCATTCAGCCTGAATAACATCATCACTTGACAACTTTTGAAAATTTTCTAAGTGTTCCTATATACGATAGAATTAAGCATTATGTATTGAACACTAATTTTTTTAAGTTGTCCAGCAGATATTATATTATACCTTAACATTGACAATAGCCATTTCAATAAATGGAATTTCATCGTCCGAATTCCAGTTTTTGACATCCTGTAGCGCACTTTGAAGGTCTTCCAGATCTCGATTGTACTCTTTTTTCATGTAATCTAGTGATGCGAGCATCAATTTTGAGAAAATAAGGACATCTGGGATAAAATGCCAAGGAGCAGAAGAACTAGAAAGCGCGTCATCGCGAAGTATCCAGGTGGACGAACGAGGAAGTGCAATTGTTGAATTCTGTATTTAAAAGTAAAAATAATTAGATTTTGCAATAGAATTCTATCATGTGCAATAACATTAAATAAAACCATACAGCATTTCGTTGAATGAGGCGCATTGTGATCATTTCACCTCCCTTAACCGCTTCTCCATCTTCGATTTTTCCAATATTTATTACGGACCAAAATCGTACACTCTTGAGGTCTTTGGCGTACACAGCATCCCAGCAAATGGGACACTTACGCCACTTCTTATTAGGTCTATCCTTCTCATCAATCAACATTAAATAATGAAGAATACAAGAAAGACAATAAGTATGACCACATTTGGTCACACGAGCAGCGGTTGGTTTTTGCAAACAAATTGGACAGCTTGGTGTAGTGGGAGTTGTGATGATCTAAGGTAAAATGCTTTTAGAATCTAGAAAGCGATATATTATATTAAAAAATCACAATATGTTAAATTTAGCTTACAACTTGTTCGATGCTCTCCCATTGCAGTAAAAGATCTGTCATAAAATTTATTATTCAGATGAATAACTACAAAACAAATAATAATCATAATAGAAAAACTTTTACATACCTGGGTCAACATTATAAACAGAATAATCACCCATTGAATTGACAAGGAACCGAAAGCTGTAAAAATATTAAAATAAAAATGACTTATAATACTTATGATGATAACATCAATATTTTTACAAAATTGAAATTACGTTTACATACTTGGCATTAACAAAACGCTCTTTATTAAATGGTTGATAATTAATAGATTTCTGTTTACGCGGAGCACTGGAAACAGAACGCTGACGTGGTGGAAACGAAAAATTCAAAAGGTGATTAAGAGAGATTTGACCCCTCTTGTTAGGTGCACCATACGACTAAAAAAGTTGGATTAGAAATTAACATCTATTAACATATATATATATTCCAATTAAGCAAATTATAATCGAATAAACTTACTACAGGATTCGTATCATTTATCGACATATCATCAAATGCAGACACTGTATTTGTGATAGAAGCCTGCAATTCGTCGGTTTTATTTGCTTCATTATCTTCGCCCGAAAATTGGATTACAGTTTTATCACCGTTTCTCGAATCGAAATTGGATTGATTGCGTTGATGGTGATTAGATTGACGTTTTTGCCTGCGATGAGGATTACTGTTCCTCTTGTTATTGTTATTCATGCTCGATCGGACTAGATTGGTAATAAGATAAATATTGTATTGAATGATCAAATAACGCATGAACAAAATCACGTGAAATTAAGAAATATTTAAAGTATTTAGATTACCATTTTGATCTCCTTGGGCGTGATAACTCTGATTTTTTGAAACAGATCTTTTAACGTCAGGCTGGTGCAAGATCTGAGCTCGTGAGACAAGAGGAGATGATGAATTTGTCCTGGATGGGACGTTTTGTGGAACGAATGCGGGTGCATTGATGTTCATTGCGGAGCCGGTAATAACAATCGTTGTTATAAATTATACGAGGATTTTGAGGCTTTCTCGGAGAAAAAAGTATTAAATAATTCCAATTGCTTGATGCAATAATGGTTTCCAGGGATAATGCAAGGATTAGGGGATATAACCAATTTGGAGGATATAAATTATATAAAGAATATGTGTCGTTTGATTTTTGCCGGTTTTTCTTCTCAAAGTTGAGAAGAATCGGAAATGCAAAAAAGAATAAGCTATCGTTTGGTAAGAACCAGTTTACTGGAGTTCTCTTGGAACTAGCAATGAAGTTTATTAATAATAAAAATAGTATTCGCTCCATTTAGAAAAGGGTAAAGGAATCCATGCTGTGCAAATAATAATAATAATAATAGGTATATTAAAAAAATAAAATAAAATAAATAAATAAAAATTAAAAAAATTTAATAATTAATTAAAAGAAATGGTATTATTTATGACGAGAGAACAAAGAAGATTGATTTGCTCTTCCCTTTTCTCTGAATAAAATATAGAATGTGAACTATTCGCTTTCTCGCAAATATAAATTTATAAGCAATACTGCGCAATATAGTAAGACTAATAACTGCGCGATTTAAAGGATTTATAATACTGTAATAGGTGGAATTTTAAGTGTTTCAAGTGTTGTGTAAACCGCCTCTGTGCGTTATTGCTAGAGAGCCAGTGATAATAGAGAACAACTTGTGTTTATAGTATTTAATATATATGTCGAAGCCGCAAGATAAAAATATCGAAGAACTTGGGAAAATTCAAGTTCAATGAGACTGTATAGGCTATCCACTTTCTTTATACCACGTTCTGTACAACCGGACCTAGTATGATCACGTGATCAGATGTGATGTCTCTTTATATTATGTGAATATATATAATATACAATAGTATTTATTTCAATACAAATATGGAGGCGCAATCTTCTAAATGCTTTACCTCCAAACAACCAATAAATTCTCAAAAAGAGAACCTAAACTAGTAAAACTAGTTATTATAATGCTTTAATGTTTTTTTTTTTTTTTTTTTTTTTTTTTTTTTTTTTTTTTTTTAATATTCGGAGTTTTACGAGGGATTTTTCTTTTTTTTTCCTTTTTT